TTTTTTAATATTTATTTTTCAGTTTTCGGTGGACACAACATCTTTATTTTATTTTATTTTTATGTGGTGCTGAGGATTGAACCCAGCGCCCCGTGCATGCCAGGCAAGCGTATTACCGCTTGAGCCACATCCCCAGCCCTATTTTGTATTTTTTTTAGAGATGGGGTCTCACTGAGTTGCTTACCGCCTCGCTTTTGCTGAGGCTAGCTTTGAACTCAAGATCCTCCTGCCTCAGCCTCCCTAGTTGCTGGAATTGATTACAAGTGTGTCCCACCATGCCCAGCTACTATTGCTATCTTTATTGGCTGTACTTGATAGAATTTAAAAACTGCAATTCTGTTCTGTTGCAGCTCCCAACTTTGAATTTCTTTTGAAATCCAAAATCTGGAAATATTCTCTTATGTAATTATGCCTCTCAAAATTTTAAAGACTTTTATACACAGATACTACTCCCCAAGAATGTCTCATTAATCTCTACCTTATTTGACAAATTAGGAAATTTAAGAATTGAGAAACAAGAATAAAGTAAGTTTAAGTAATTCAAAATCACAAGTTAACTCGGGATCCCAGAGGAAGAGTCTCCTGAGAATCTTTTCCGTCTGTTAATCTTTTCTTATCCTTTACCTTTTAATCCTACTAACTCAAACCTGGACTCAAACTTCCTTCTCATAAAACAGTCACATCTTTCTGTACTGCTGATATATGCCAATCAATATTTGAACTAACTTGAGGCCTTCGATAATCTACTTACATTGAAAGGCATTTTCACCTTATCAAAATAAAAATGCTTAATGATGCTTACTCAATCCACTTCCAAAAGAAAATAAGTCTACCTAATCAGACTTCAGCTGTTTTAATTTCCAAATCTGCAATAAATATTCACATGTACACACATATGGATTTTAAAAGCAGTTTACAAAACAGGCTGATCATACTGGATACATTTCTTCAGAATAACTATCATATAAACAGCAAGTGAACTATTTATTCCTATTATTAGCAAGTAGTATTTCTTACCCATCTTTTGGCAAAAATCAAATTCAAAATATGTACATTGCTACATAATTAAATACTAGTTTCATTCACGACATAGTAAATTCACTTTTAAAAGTAGAGATCCAGTTATTTTAATCTAACAATACTTCTAAATATTTTTAATATTAGTTGATATTACTTGATATAATTTTATGAAAATTCTTAGTTTATACTTACTACATGGTTCAAAAACATTTCTTCTTAAAGAAGTCAATTTTAAGAATTTAAACACAAAGTACTCTTTACATGCCCAAATAATGAAAAGTCTATTAAAAATTTTATAGACTACATAATGTTCCCCAAAAGTCCAAAACTGGAGCAGTGTCCCACACCTGTAATCCCAGCGACTCAGGACGCTGAGGCAGGAGGATCACAAATTCAAGGGCAGCCTGGGCAACTTAGCAAGAACCTGTCTCAAAATAAAAAATATAAAGAACAAAAAGGGCTGGGAATGTAGCTTAATGATAAAGTGACTCAGGGGTTCAAACACCAGTACCAACCCTCCCCACGAAAAAACCCTAAAACTTATGACCGACTCTGTTTAAATTTCCTATTTATCTAATATCAAGTTATTATTTGTTTCTTTAATACTACAAATATGCTGCTGCACAGACTTCTCATTATGTATTTATTCATTCAACTAACTTCGGGTGGGATACTTTTAAGTTTAAAAGCCCTTCCCAAAAGTAAAAATAACATCAAAATGTCTGCATAAAATATATTTAGTGGATCTCAAGGAGTATCTGTAACTAATAAAGCTCAAGTTGGTTCAAATAACCAACAAATGTGAGCTTTTTGTCACAATGATATATTTTGCACTGTAAACTACATTGTAAATGCATTTTTTAAATGTTTAATGCAACCAGGAAGATTCAACCAGGGATTCAAGCAGGTACAGGAATATGGTTTAAGATCAAATGAAAGAGTACCTGGTACATGAAAAAGGCCAAGTGGGAAATATTAGCAGCCTGAAGTTTGCAAACAGAAACAAGGCAAACTCCGAGATGCTAGTTTGTTTGTAATTATCAATATGTGGGTCAAAATAAACCAGGGAGCTATACATTTCTGTTTATCAAGCAATTTACAGATCCACAAGAGGGGAAGTAATGTCTCAAATGTGACTACTGTTTACAAACATCAAAATATTAGGGATATGGTTATGAAATCATTCTTTTCACTTTTGCTGAGACCCCGTTATAAAAAACAGCACCTTAAAAATGCAAGTCCCCGGTCTTTCAAAGTAGCTTACCTAGGAAAATTTAATGCATTAAAACAAAATATAACTGACAAATCAATCACGTTTTTTAAAAAAACTAAACCGCCCGGTGTGGAAACCCGTTCAGCAAGTGCCTCGTCTTTGTGAGTGCGCGCTACTCGGGCCGGCAACCTTCAGGTCCGCCCGCAGCCCGGCGGGGCACTAGCGCCGGTCCAGCGCAAACTTCCACCGGACCTCACTCGGCCTCGCCGCGAGCAGACGTCCGGCAATCGGACGCGCTCGGTGAGGGCGTCCCTCACCGGCCGGTCACGCTCGCGCCGGTCGGCGAATGTCACCGGCCGCACGCGTCCCGCGGCCTGCGGTGGCACCTGCCCCGGCCCGGCCCACGCCCCGGGCCGCTCGGCCTGCGCAGGCGGCCGGGAGCCCGCAGGCCGCCCGCCCCCGCCCGCGCCCCGCTCCCGCCGCCGCCCCGGCCCCCGCCGCCGCCGCCGCGCTACCTGGAGGCGAGCGCGGCGGAGCACTTCACCCAGGGCCCCAGGTCGCACAGGGCACGGTGCTCGGGATCGCGCTCCTTCGCCCGCTCCACGTGGTAGGCGTAGATGGAGAGCAGGATCCCGGCGGCGCACACGGCGTACCGGGCCACCCGCTCCCACCGCGGCACCGACACCCTCAGCAGCACGGGCGCCGCCATCTTCCCGCCGCCGCCGCCCTCCGCCTCCTCCTCAACCGCCGCCGCCCGTCGGGGCCCGACCCAGCCGCCGCCGCCGCCGCCTTCGCCGCCGCCACCGCCGCCGCCGCCGCCGCGCCCCATTGGCTCGGTAGCCGCCTCCGGGCCCCGCCCCCACAGGCGCGCGGCCCAACCGCCCCGAGAGGAGCGAGCCGGGCGGGGCGCGGGCGCGAGCGCGAGCGGAGGGGCAGAGCGCGCAACCGCCAGCAGGCCTCCGAGATACAGGCGGAGCGGCGCGCGGTGGGGGCGGGGCCACAGGGGGGCGGGGCGGAGAAGGCGGGCGCGGGCGGACGGACGGAATGCGCAACTGCCGAAGGCTGCGGAGACCCAGCAGGCGCGGCGCGCGGCGGAAGGCGGGCTGGAAAGGGGCGGAGCCAGTGGGGAAAGGGGCGGGACGGAGAAGGCGGGCGCGAGCGGATGGGCGGAGCGCGCAACCACCGGTCGCCGAGACCCAGGAGGCACGGCGCGCTGTGGAGGGCGGGGCCAGAGAGAAGGGCGGGGCCAGCAGATAGGAGAGAGGCGGGGGGAGAAGAGGTGGGGCGGGAGGGCGCGGCCAGGGGGGCGGAGCGCGTAGCCACGGGCGGCCGAGACCCCGAAGGAGCGGCGCGTGGCGGAAGGCGGAGCCGAAGGCAGAGGGCGGGGCCAGCGGAGAGGGGCGGTGCGCACAACCGCTGACTGGCCGGCGCGCCGGGGGCAGGGCCTGCGGCTGGGCGGTGAGTTGCCGGCCTCAGGGGCGGGCGCTGAATGAATTTCAGACACCTCTGTGCGTGACTTTGCAGGCCCGGGCAATCAGTTGCCATCCTTTTGCCTTTTTCGTCTTATCACTTGATATTTCTGACCCAATCAAAGTTAACCCTGGCCCGGAGCTCCATAGTCATGCTTCAATGACAGGATCTTCCCTGGCACTCCTGGCAGTCACCTGTGTCCAACCTGTGCGAAACTTTTATGTAATACTTTAATAAAAAAGTATTTTTAAAGTTATTTATGACTGCTTTACTTTTCCGTAAGCTGAATTTCAGGAGGCTTAACATAATTCAGATAATGTAGAAAAATATAAAAATGAACTAAAAAATCAGGACACAGAAAAAGGCAAGTCAGAATAAAAGGATAACCAGGCCATAGGGACTCGCAAAACAATTGAAATAGAGCCATAACGTTGGTTCTGAGCTTTCTGGTGGCCATAGCTAAAAGGAAAACACATAAATCTCACTGTTCCAAAAGAAATATGCTGTTTCCGGAGATTACTAGCTTTTCTCTGGTTGCAGCACTCAAATTTTCAGGGGCTTTATGTAGAGATTTGGGATAATAATCAGTGTCCTTAGTTATCTATTATTGGGTACAATTTACCCCAAACTTTGTACTTTAAAACAAACAATAAACTTATTTTTGCAGTTTCTGTGGGTCAGGAATCTAGGTGCAGTTCACCTGGATCATATGACTCAGTGTGTCTGTCTCTCTCTGGCTACATCAAGGTGTATGCTTGCTTAAAAATCCTTTTTTAAGGGGCTGGGGTTGTGGCTCAGTGGCAGAGTGCTTGCCTAGCATGCATGAGGCCCTGAGTTCAATCCTCAGCACCATATAGAAATAAAATAAAATATTGTGTCCACCTAAAACTAAAAAATAAATATTAAAAAAACAAAAAAGAATCCTCTTTCAAGCAGTCTGGTGGCCGATGACAAGCCTTTGCTGGAGTCATCAGTTTGCCGCCCCTTGCACCTTTCCATAAAAAGCAGTTTCCCCCAAGAGATTGAAGAGAGAATTGGAGGTGTGGGCCCCTGGTAGAATATTTCCTTAGCATGTGTGAGGCCCTAGGTCCCATTAAAACATTACAATATGATCTTGTAACCTAACCTCAGAAGTGACCTTCCTTTACCTTTACACATTCTGTTACTAGGTCAGCCCACACACCAAGAAAAGACACACAGGCTTGCATGGCAGGAGCGGCTGTCACTGTTTCTGCAGTTCCTCCTTCATGTTGGTGGAGTTTTTGACCCTAATTGATCCTCTCCAGAACTGTCATGGTGGCCACCCTATTCAGGAGGGGTTTCATCTACAAGTTAATCCCATGTAAATGTGGGCACAGTGGCCAGAAGTTACCTCAGTGTATCTGCATTACTAAAGAGACCTCCCTTCCCTAGAGTGAAGCAGGTAGAGTCACTATACCAGACCTTAAACTATACTACAGAGCAATAGTAACAAAAAAAAGCATGGTATTGGCACCAAAACCGACTGGAAGACCAATGGTGCAGAATAGAGGACACAGAGACTAACCCACAAAAATTACAACTATCTTATATTACACAAAGGTGCCAAAAACATGCATTGGAGAAAAGTTAGCCTCTTCAACAAATAGTGCTGGGGAAACTGGAAATCCATTTGCAACAAAATGAAATTAAACCCCTATCTCTCATCATGCACAAAACTCGACTCAAAGTGGATCAAGGACCTAGGAATCAAACCAGAGACACTGTCTGCATCTATTAGAAGAAAAAGTAGGCCCTAATCTCCAATATGTGGGATTAGGCCCCAACTTCCTTAAAAAGACTCCTGTGGCACAAGAATTAAAATCAAGAATCAATTAATGGGATGGACTCAAACTAAAAAGTTTCTTCTCAGCAAAAGAAACAATCTGTGAGGTGAATAGAGAGCCTACATCTTGGGAGCAAATCTTTACCCCTCACACATCAGATAGAGCACTAATC